TATATATATATATATATAAATGTATTATATACATATTATTTTTTAAATATAATAATCAACACTCAAAAAATTGTATGCAAACATGTAAATTGCACATAATGTAGTTTTTTAATTAACTTGTTTGAATGGACCTTTTTCACATTTCCGGGTTGTCTTGAGAAGTTTAAATGAAATTTTCTACTCATCTTGCCTCTGTATATGGACCTTTTTCACATTTCCGGATTTCTCAGCAGCGGAAGTCGTCATACTTGGGTTGACTTGAATAGCAGTGAATGGGAGAGTACCACAAATAAATTTTTTGCATTCCCATTTGCTCAAATAGCAAAAGAAAAACTCCACGATAGGGTTTTCATGACTTTCAATAAAAGGAAAAAAATTGGCAGAGACTGATATCGGTAGTCAGAAGAGAGAACGATGTCAAATTTACCGTCCCTCCCATAGACGCTGCATTAGAAACACCCTCGCATTAGTGTTGTTGACTGTTTTTTTTTGTAATTTGATGCAAAGGTGATAAAATACAAAGAATAGTGTTATATGTACATACATTTTTTTAAAAATACAAATATGAAAAACTTTTGAGGATTTACAATGGGAGAGTACCACAAATATATTTTTTCCATTCCCATTTGCTCAAATAGCAAAAGAAAAACTCCACGATAGGGTTTTCATGACTTTCAATAAAAGGAAAAAAATTGGCAGAGACTGATATCGGTAGTCAGAAGAGAGAACGATGTCAAATTTACCGTCCCTCCCATAGACGCTGCATTAGAAACACCCTCGCATTAGTGTTGTTGACTGTTTTTTTTTGTAATTTGATGCAAAGGTGATATAATACAAATAATAGTGTTATATGTACATACATTTTTTAAAAATACAAATATGAAAAACTTTTGAGGATTTACGATGCTGATGACCGTTAAATGCGTCATCACAGTCTTGTGAAAAGGGTCCATATAGTTGTTGAAATATATTCAGGTTAAGTAAAATATAATGAGGTAAATGAAATGCTACATGACATTTTGTTTACAAGCCGTTTTATTGATGTCTTTCAGCAGTTGAAACACTGATTGAGCGATTACATAAGGCATGAGATGTTCATTCATGTTTACTTCACATTAAAACTAGTAGTAAAGAGGAAGGGATGCTCACGCTTCACTCGCGCTCCGCACTGCCATTTGAACTGAGGTGTTTGTACAGCGATCTGTCTCGCCACATCAAAGCGTGTCAAAATGGCATTTACTGTTTGAATTTCCTGAAAAAAAGATGAGACTGTTTCTTATCAAAAGTAACCATATATAAAATTGCAAGTTTCCAATGAATTTCCACTCGTGCAGTGGTTAAAACAATGCTGTATTTACACTCGTGCCGAACCGAAACACCCCATACATGTACCATTACACCCCTAGTATGTATCCATCAGTTTGGTGTCATTAGCTCTTACTTTGTGTCTCGTCTTTGTTTCAGGGCTTTGATCCATTGGCAAAAGACAAATTTAAACCAAAGACAAAGAAGAAAGGAAGAAGCTCGGCTGGTGCCATAGAGAAAAGAAAGAGAAAAGTCGCCCATGAGGATCAGAGGGTATTTCTTTTCTCTCTCTTTTTCTCTCTCTGTCTTCTGTCTCTGTTTGGAATCATCTCACACTGTTCGTACTACAGACATGATGATGCCTCACATTGAAGATGTAACATTTTTAAACAATCAGAATAAAATGTTTAGTGGACAACAAGTTAAAAGTTTGACAGTATTCCAGGAGGGACCAAAGCTGTATCTAGAGGTCAGAATATCATAGACTTAAAGGGTTTTTGAGAGCAGAAAGTCTTTGTTTAACTTAAACACAAGCCTCTCTCAGTAGTGTTTCTTATTTGCTCTCTGTTCACACCACTTCCTCTCTACTGTGATTCTGCAGGACGAAATTCGGCAATCCGTACAAGAACGAACAGAAAGAGAGAAAGAGCTGAAAGAGAAGTTCAACGAAAAGAAGTTGGGAAATAAGTCAACACTTGACCGTTTTAGAAAGTGAAGATCCCTGACTGCTGTGAACCCATCCTAGAGGACTAATTCAAAGCAGAAGAGACTATTCATGCATGCTAATCTGTTGCAAATGTAAGATTGCTGTTGTACAAGACATTTTTTTTTCAAAACCTCTGGATGTCATTTCCTTGTTCCTTGAAAGCTTTTAGCTTGTTTAATAAAATATGTTTAAAAACTACAAACAAATCGTACATGTATTTGTCTTTTAAGGCCCCATGAAATGGGGGGAAAATGACAACAGTTGAGAGACTTTATAATTCTGTAGTACCACTATTAACCAGAGCTAAGACATAGCTTATCACTCCAGTTTTAGATGCTTGGCACTGTCTTCATGTAAATTTGAAATGGATTTTAAATGGTCTTTCTCCTTTAAAAGCCTGTAATGAGCTAGGACCAAGCTACATTGCTAATTTTACTTGTTAATTATGTACTTTCAGGAACACTAGTTATATGTTGTAAAGCATTTTTCATTGCTAGAATTACATGTACTGTGGTGGCGAGCAGTGATTTAGCCATTAGGTGATGATTCCTTTCCAAGAAACCTATGGATGCTTACACAGAAATCAATGTATGTCACAAACAAGATTGGAAAACCAAATGGAACAAAAAAAATCATCAGAAATTTTAAACTTTATTAGCTTGCTCTAACATACATGTACCTTACATGGGGCGGGGACAATTTTTATTTTTTATTTAGTGGAGTTAGTATTGTCTCATATAAAGGGGCACTGCAAAGGGGGAAAAGGTGTGCATAGGCCCCAGAGGTTTATAAGGGCCCACAAGAACAATACAACCCGAACCTGATTTCCAGTGTTTCTTTCACATGAAACGGCCCACAGACCAACAGCCCAATGCAACAATCATGACCATGTATAGCAACAGAGCGGAGGCGCAAAAGCTGTGGATCTGCTTACTCACAACCCTCCGTCACTGGCACAGATTTGCAAAAAATTACTGTTTGGCAAATAAATAATTTTACATATTTCCAACATTTCATTATGTAAGCTTATTTTCACCTAAAAGGACAAGGGAATTCATAGTAATGTTAATATCAATTAGCTGTTCACTGAAATCATTCTCTCAAATGGCAGAGCATTTGTTGTACTGTTAACCCTGTGATAATCTTTAGAACTTGTAGGAATAATGTCAGATGATTTTGTGTAAAATACAAGGGTTTCTGTATTTTAAGTTATTTAAAGACCGTATACTAGGGCTGCACCATGAATCGTATTTTAATCATGATCACAATTTATGCTTCTCCCATTTTAAGAAGCATAAATGTCTGTGATATTTGCCCACTGGCTATTTATCCTGAAAATGTCTCATTTTCATTTTGTATTAGCATTAACTTGCATTGGCAACTGGTCAAAATTAAAGTTAAAATGACAATAATCGTGATTATATTTTGTTTTGCAAAATAATTGTGACTAACTGTTCAACCATTATCTTGCAACCCTACTGGATCCTTAAACTAATTTCTTCAACCTTTGAAAATATGGAGAATTTAGTCTTCAGTAAACTCTCTGTCAGCCAATGAAATTTATTTTTGACTCCTGGTCTTCACTGTGCATACTGTCCTTCTTCTTGGGCCAAGCCGTGTTCCCATTATATTTGATGTTATTGATGGATGTGATCCATCACGAGCTGCTGCTTGGCCTAATTTTCAGCCACCTTACCAGCACCACCCCTGCATTCTGGTCTGGCTGTAGCATTGAGTGCATAATACTTTGCCACTCGAGACACATGATCTTTGCCGATACCTGCAATGACAAAAAAAAAGACATTTATTTGTTTGTATGTTTGTTGTATGTATTTGTGTATGTATTTATTTATCTATCTACCTCTATTTATTCATTCATTCATTCTCTGCTTCATTTATTCATTCACAGTATCCATTAGCAACGACAGATGACATGGCCAACAAGGATATTTGTGATTAAGCAGTGCATCAGACAACTAAATGGCAGTCATCCATGCAAACCTATAGCCCATGTAATCCTGTGTGTGTGTGTGTGTGTGTACATATCTACATTAATTCAACTTGCAGTAGGCCTATTTATCAAATAGCATTGGCAGATGACCTGGGGCCGGTTGCACCAGCGTACAGCTGCTCATTACGTACAGTAAGTTACAATTTAGCCTAGTTTTGACGTAAATGGGCACTAAATTACAGCGCACTACTAAATATTTTTTCGTTGCACAAAATGACAACAGTTGAGAGACTTTATAATTCTGTAGTACCACTATTAACCAGAGCTAAGACATAGCTTATCACTCCAGTTTTAGATGCTTGGCACTGTCTTCATGTAAATTTGAAATGGATTTTAAATGGTCTTTCTCCTTTAAAAGCCTGTAATGAGGTAGGACCAAGCTACATTGCTAATTTTACTTGTTAATTATGTACTTTCAGGAACACTAGTTATATGTTGTAAAGCATTTTTCATTGCTAGAATTACATGTACTGTGGTGGCGAGCAGTGATTTAGCCATTAGGTGATGATTCCTTTCCAAGAAACCTATGGATGCTTACACAGAAATCAATGTATGTCACAAACAAGATTGGAAAACCAAATGGAACAAAAAAAATCATCAGAAATTTTAAACTTTGTCAGGAACGGTTGGAATAAAATAGCAGACTGAGTGAACTGCATCAATATGCTCTTCTTTTACCCGACAACCTGCAATCCTTTAGGCATATATGATGCTGCTGACATTTACACTCACGTACATATTAAGAGAGAGAACAGTATGTGAATAAACGTACTTTGTTTCTTTTTTAGCGCGTCTTCACCCCATCTACAGCGCGCCTCTGTGCGCTTCGGTCCGTGTTGCGCATGTCAGATGAAATAATGAATAAATGGCATTTCTTATGTTTTTTTTTTTCTTTCAGTGTTTATTGATCCTTATTTATTTCAATGACGGTTTCTGAATGTTATTTACATATAAAAATAGCTTACATATATACTAATGTTATTAATGTATCGTTTTTAATGGAAACTTGTTTTACAGGGGCAGTCCAAGGGCGTGACAGCAGTACTGATTTACATATCATTCAGTATAGAAACTATAAAATATATTTCCTGCCTTATCCTGTGATAAAAATGGAAAAAAGGTGTCCGTAGTAGCCTTTAAAACCAATCATAAGATTGTCATTAGGATAATATTGAACAAAAATAGTATAGCCCCTTGCAACTAATGTTACTTCCACAGGCTACACGCAGCAATATGAAGAACAGATGTGCATGCTCTCTTCACGTCGTTCTTGTAAAATAATAATAATTTAATCATATAAGTAAACAAGCACACACACCAGCCGCGAAAGTTATATGCCTTGTACAAATACCGACACTTGCGGTCTTGACCACTTGAGAGCGCGTGCGCGCGACAGGAAGTAATTGCGCAAGACTGTCCCAGGTCTTAAAAACGCCAAAGCGCAGTGCCCTTAACGCACACTAAACCCACACTATCTCGGATACCGCTCCGGAGTTATTATTATTATTATTATTGAGTTTACAGGGTATGGTGGTTTTGCTGTTGTAAACACTACTGTTGTTGTTGTAGAAAAAATATTTCTGTCTTATTTAAAATAGAATTCTATTCTAATCCTGTTCTGAATTTATACATTTTTTTAATAATAATGATAATAAAAACAGGATTAATAAGTATAATTCGGAGGATGAGAAAATCAGTATAAGCCTGTTTTACCAGTGTTATAATAATTATTTTTAATGCACTCTACGTTTTTTAAATAAATACTGTAAAAATAATAGTTCAAAGTATGAATAATTTTTAGTCAGAAACATAAAAAGGACAAGCTCCCTCGACACCCTTTAAACTTTTCCCAATCAAACAGCAAGAACAGTGTGAATTATCAAAGACGCGATCTGAGGGAATTGCCGACACGTCGCCGACGCCCACAAAATATTTGGCATGCTAAATATCTGGAGCTGTCGGAGATTCACAATCACGCAGTGTGAATTATCAAAGACGCGATCTTAGGGAATCGCCAACGTGTCGCCGACGCCCGCGAAATATTTGGCATGCTAAATATCTGGATTAAATAAATACTGTAAAAATAATAGTTCAAAGTATGAATAATTTTTAGTCAGAAACATAAAAAGGACAAGCTCCCTCGACACCCTTTAAACTTTTCCCAATCAAACAGCAAGAACGAAAGAGAACAGGCACCTTTGTTTATATTGCTGTGTGTAGAACAACGTTAGCTGCATTTTTAATATTTAATAAATATTTAATTTTAATCAAATGTAAATTCGTCCCCTGTACTTTATTCGGGCAGGTGTGTTCACGTCATAGAGGTTTCTAGATTAAAATCTAGATTTAAATTCAAAGAGACAATATCGATAGTCTATGCATTACCTGACGTTTTATTCGTATCCAAAATTAGGAGATGTGAATATCAGGAGCGCTGAACACTCTCCTGCAGTGTGTTTCATTCATACTCGAAGCCGGAGGGCGCTCTTGCTCAGAAAGTCCAAAAAAGACTCATAGAAGTAATAATTTATGACCTACAGGAAATCCCTAACATGGACAAAAGCATCCGGCTATAGCTGTACTGTAGCTGAACTGAAAAAAAAGCAGAAACGTTTACTGATGAAACATGAAGACAATAAACACACGGTTGCGAAATATATGGTTTAAGTGTGTTTTTCAAGTTATCTCCAGGTAATAAATAAATAAACAGGTAATGAAAAGTTCGACACACACTTGTGGTCTTCATGCTCACTTAAACACTTGGGCCAAATGCAGGAAATACGTCATATAAGTGTTCAAGTGGTCAAGTGCAAAGACTGCAAGTGTGGGTATTTGGACAAGGCAATTGAAGGCATCTGGTAGCGCGCTAAAGGTGTCTGAAAGTGAGGGTGAGGGATCGTTCCAGATGAGATCGTCAGGTGAAAGGTCATCATGTGGATCATTTTATTTATGGCTAAATTATTATTCATTTATTTTTTGTAATATTTAGATTAGGCAGATCTTCACAAAAGGGCGTTTAATAAAAAAAAAAAATTGCCTTGACAAAAGGGCACTTTGGGTATCAAGGGAAAAGGGGCAGGTGCTCAAGCACCCACCGCAACCCCCTCTGCATGTGCCTGCTGCTTGTGTATTTGAAGGTTTCTATTGGATGATTTAGGGTAAACATCATATTATGCGACTACGCATTACTT